GAGCGGACTTCGTGGCAGGCGCAGTACTTTGTGAACCTCGAAGTGCAGATTTCTGCGCAGGCGCAGCGCTTTGTGCTCTCTCACTCAGACACGCTCCCGCTCACCCTCACCCTCACTCACACTCACTCTCCACTCTCACTCACACTCCCCACATTCACTCTCACTCACGCTCACTCTCACTCTCACTCTCACTCACACTCACATTCACATTCACACCCACTCTCACTCTCACTCGTACACACTCACTCTCACTCGCACTCGCACTCGCACTCGCACTCGCACTCACACTCACTCACTCTCGCACTCACACTCACTCACTCTCCCACTCTCACTCACCCACACCCACCTCACCCACACGCGCTCTCACTCTCACTCACACTCGCGCTCACACTCACTCACACCCTCCTTCACTCTCACTCCCACTCCCACTCTCACTCTCACTCACACTCACAGTCACAGTCACATTCACTCACTCACTCACTGGACCCCAATGCGTGTAGATCTCTAGACTTTCTACTTTTGGACCTCACACACACACTGTTTGGGGTCTCTTGCCGGGATAATTTTTTTGGCCTTGGATTGGTCTGGGCCATGAGATGGTGCACTAGTAGGTGGGTATGCTTCTTGACTGGCAGACTAGAAAGAATCTGAAACCAAAACCCCGCTCCTTGGCAGGCACCAGACCTTGTTGAAGCACGTGACCGCGAGAGATCATGCGGCAGCATGTATCATGAGGCAGAATGAATCATGCCTCACTCTGATGTGCTGAAGGTGCTTTTGCTAAGGAATTAAACACTTAGTGCTTTTGTGCTGGTTGTTTCCGATTTGGCAGTGGCATTTTTTGTTATCAAAGCACAATCTTCGCACAATGAAAAACAAACTTCATGGACCATGTCCAGGCTCACTCTTCCACCTCGCAAAGCTGCTTCTCCGTCTCCCCCGGCTGGGAGAACGGAAAGTCGCTCGCGCTCGCGGCGCTCCCGGCGCTCCCGGCGCTCCCGGCGGTCCCGGCGCTCACGACGCTCGTGGCGCTCGCGGCGCTCCGGGCACTCGCGGCGCTCGCGGCCACGTTCTGGACGGCGGCGGGATTCGAGGCGACGGAGCAGCAGTCGACATCAACACAGCAGGCGGCAGTCGACTCCACCTCGCCAGAGCATGCCACGGACGCCAAGTCCGCAAGGACCTGCACGTCAGGAGTGCACGAAAACTTCGCGAACGTGTGGCATTTAGATTTGTTGTGTTGGGAAACTAGTTGTGAAACACTTTCCTGGACTACGTGTCTTTTCTGTCAACCAGTTGCACTTTAAAGAACGAAGGTTCCGCAGGGACAGGGGCGAGCAAGTGAATACTTGGCAATAAGGCCCACAAAGGTTGCAAAAACACGGGTCGCGAAAGTGGCAGGAAAGCATTGCCAGGATTTCAACACAGCTCACCAAAAGCAGAGACCATCCATGCCGTTGTCACTTCGTTGGCTTCCAGGAGTCCTCCTCTTCAAGCGAAGCCGGTGGCATTTGGAGCGCTCCTCAGCAGCCACCGCGCCCCAAGGCGATGCCGCGCAAAGCGCCATCCACGGCGGCGCCCGCGGCTGCGCGCGCTGCGGTGCCCGCTCCGGCGCCGAAAACGCGCAGCGCGGCCCGTGCCGCGCCGTCGATGGCGCCCAACGTGAAGCCTTTGTCGAAGAAGTTCAAGGACACAAAGGAAGAGGCTAGGAAGAAGACACGCAAGAAATTTGTACTGGTTCAGTGAAGAGGAAGTGTAGACATGTTGTGCAGAACATCATTCCTTTTTTGTAACACTTCCATCTTTACCTCAGTGCCTAAACCATGCAATGTCTTCCCTGTTGTGTAGAATCCAGTTTGGGATGAATAGACATTTCGCAGTCTCCTGCAGTCTTCCATGTTTTCTTCCTAACTTTGCTGGATCACTTCTTTTTTCCGCATCCGATGGTGCTCAAAGTGGTCATTGAGGTTGAGGTCCCACAAGCCCTCCGTGTCGGGCTACGGTGGCCAAGTTCAAACTCCGCAGGTTGAAGACTGGCTCACAGGGCTTGACGGAGGCCGAGGGGCTCTAGAGCCTTGGCTGGAAGCGCCGACCATTTGGCTGAAGCTCCAAATGAAGAGCTGAAGAATGCTTTGCGGTGACGGGTGACATGGGTTGGAATCTTGGAAGAGGATTTCCATCAATAGTAGGTCAAGGAGACACGCAGATGATCGCAGATGTATGTATTGAACATTTCTTTATATGCGAGGAACTTACACGAGAGTGAGCCTACTCCCCTCTACCCGGTTGATGTCGCAGCCTCTATGTACGACTGTGGATTGGGCGCGGTTTCTAGGAACGCTATTCCGGTGCACCCTCTTTTCAACCACCAAAGAGAATCCTGCGACCAGTGCCACGCATGTTTGTTGTTGCCGCTTGTTCCCGCTCGTTGCCCAAGGTTGCCTACGGTACCGTGATCCTCGAGCAGTTTGGAAGCCTGGAAGCTCTGAGTGCTTGCAGCTCGGAATTGCAACCGCTTTTCGGCCGACCGACGCGCTCTCCGTGGCCGAGTGACGGATCCCTTTTTTCGGCGGATCCGTCGGCGGATCCGTGTCCCTCAGGTGTGATGAGCCAGGACGGGAGCGTCATGAGCCGTGTCGACGCCTCACTGTGGGATGTGCTCAACGTGAAGTCCTTGGGACACAGGAACCGCTGCGGTCGACGGGGCGGTCGACGGTGCGCGACGTGACGGTGCGTGGGGTTGGGCACCGAAGGAAATTGGCAGAAATGCATGTTTGCGGGATTGAAGCCGCTAGGGCTGACAATCTCTATTACAGTATGCAGTTGGTGGTTTTTGGTGACAGCTTCATCAGCATTTCGTGGGATGAACAATGCGGTTGGAAGCAGGCCACAATTCATATTGCGTGAGAGCTTTCCCAAGCTTGTTTTGGCACCTGGCGGAGGAATCCATGGCTCACACCCGAGTGGTTTTGGGAGAATTTTCATCTGACCAACCACCGCGATTTGCCCGGTAAGTGGTAAGTGACCACCTCGCTGTTGTTCCTATCGACGTGCAGGTTGCTGATGGCCAAGGGCATTTGTTCCTTGTGAGGCAAGGCGCCGGAGCAACTGGCGGAGACCACGACCCCCCCGGAAACGGAAGAAACACAAAGCAGCCATGCCCTATCTTGCCCCTCAAGATACCTTCCCAGCGTCCAATAGTTCACCCAAAGACGCAGTCACGTGACTGCCCACGCTATCAACTTTCTGCGTTTTGCGCTTTTCGCCTTCCACGTTTTCCTTCTTTCACGGCCCTCAGGCTTTGAGAGTTGGCGAAGCCAAGCGGCCAGAAACAGACTGCGGCCCTTGCTGACAGTCCAACACAATGTGCTTCTTTGGGATTTAGGATAGTTTAAGTTGGAGTTGCGAATTTGTGGTTGCGGTGGAACAGGTGTTGGCAGTTTGAATTTGTGGACTTTGTGGACCAAAAACATCAGGTATATATATATATATACACATTACATATATATATATATACATATTAGTGAGGATTCAGAAGGGATGTGCCATAGGGTGCTGTGTGAGACCATGAGTTTTCTATCGTCTCTTACTCGGACGGTTTCCGCAATGTGCGTGTGCGGTCAGAGCTGCCGTTTTGGCTTTCATGGTTTTTATGGTTTCGCACGACACGTTTCATGGGACCCCCCCGACAACACAGCGTCTTGCGGCACAAGAACTGATGCAGTTCGCATCAACGACACCAGTTCGCATCAACGACATCATCCCACTTGATTGTACAGTTTTGCGACGCGGCGAGAAGCACCATGTGCGACCAAGCAACTCTCCAGGCAGGGTGAAGCAGTGTGAAATGGATGGATTCGATGCCGAAGTCAGTGAGGGCATATGTAGAAAACACAAGCAACAATTGTGATATATATATATATATATTATTACGACAGCCAGCCCATAGGCTAGGCTGGAGTGCTTGATGGGCGAACGAAGTGAGTACTAGGGGGTGTGGGGGTGGTTGCGAGGTGGTGGGTGGCGGGTGGTGGGGGAGAGCGAACAAAAGGGGGTGGCCGAATTGTAGTCAAAATGCATGTTTATAAGCATCGCTGATGCCAGTGATGCCGAAAAAGGGTTTCATAGTGCACCAGCAGCATCGCAAAGTAGCCAGGCTAAAGTTTAAGTGGTCTGTCTAGCCTGTCTAATTGTGTGCGTGCAGGTTATTTCCCGGCAAACATGGACGCACAGCGGTTACTGTTTTCTATACTGATCCGCTGTAGAGACTGGCAGCAGTGAACGCGTAGAACACCATCTAAGACTCAACGGAAAGGCCATGTGCGGTGGTGCCCTGTTGACCACCTTGTCAAAGTTATGGGGAAGAAAAAAGGGCACCGGCAAAGGAGTGCTATCTTCTGGGATCTGGCTGGGTCTCCCCAACCAGCTGTAAAGACAGCACTTTGAAAGACTGCTCCATGTCTACGAAGGCTGGCTTTCGCCCACTCTATCTATACATATACATATATATATATATTATTTTTTGATATTTATCTATCTATGTATTTATATTTATACACAATAATTGGATTCTAATCGTTTCGTCAATGACAAGGATCTTTCCATGTAATCTTCGATGTAGCATGTCGGCTCTTCAGCGGGTGGAAGCTCCTCATGTGGGTGGAGGAGTTTGTCCACGGAAAATTGTGCAGGTGCCACAATTATGTGTGAGGAGGATCCAGCGATCTTCGAGAGTTGATCTGCGGTGGCCCTTCAGGACGTCGGCTTTAAGGTCCTTGAGCGGGCGTACATTGAGCTGCTCGAGAAGGCGGTCAGCTGGAGGAGCCCACCCCACGCCCAGACCTAGATCTTCAAGGCGTTGAGAGCGCCGCCAGTCTTCCTCAGCGCCGTTAAGCTTGAAAGTGAGGAGGAGATTGCAGGGCAGAGGAGGCTCCTGCGCCACGAAAGCAGAGGAAAAACATAAAGGGAGGTTGCAAAGCAGGAGATTGAGGGAGAGAGTGTGCGCCAGAGGAGGTCTACTCCGACAGCCGGGACAGCGCCCCAAGACGCTCACCTCACACGCATTCCAGTAAACCACGCCCAGAATGCCAGCGCCGCGCTCACCACTCTCACCCCAGACAGATTCAGCGGACGGCGCGCCATTTTCACACCAGACAGGATCCGGCAGACAGAACATTCCAGACTGTGCGCCACTCCCCACACAGGTTGCGCCCAGACTGTGCAACTGTGCACCACTCTCGCCCCGCAGAGAACTTCAGGTTCCAGCAGACAGCGCCCAAGGTTCAGCGCACAGCGCCCAAGGTTCCAGACTGTGCACCAACTTTCACCCGCACAGCACCCAAGGTTCCAGCAGACGGCGCCCAAGGTTCCAGGACGGAATTCCGGTTTTGGAGCCCCGTGGGCCAGCTGTGTGCCACTCCCAGCCCCAGATGTTGAAACCCAACTGCATTCAGCTGTTGTGAACTGCCCTTAAGCCAGAGAGAGAGAGAGAGAGAGAGAGAGAGAGCAAGCAGGAAGAGTTGCAGTCGATGTATTCCGTTTCTTTGACCCAACTGCGGAGCGGGGCGGAGACAAGGCAAGTGAATATATATATACATATATATATATAGAGCATATCCCATATGCCATATACAATGGTTCCATTTTTGGGTTCCTCTTTCGGCCGGCTCTTTTGCTTGGAGCCAAATCTCGACCGCAGGATGCTGTGGAGAGTGGCATCGATCTCAGTAGCAATGCCTTCATGCTCATCCATGGATGGACGGCCATGGGCTCAGCCCTCCACGGTTGACATGCAACACGTTGTGACGACAGGGGTGATTCTTCTTTTGCATAGACCTAGCCAGTGAGTGGAGGTTTTGGGCAATGCTGGGCCTCGATAAACACCCCAACTGGTAGATTGATTCAAGTTTGCCTTTTGAAAAGGGAACCGCGCAGATGCATCCGTACCACAGGCGGCTTAGTTCTATCTATGGGTCTGCAAGACCCAGGTCGAGAACAACATTCCGTGGTTTTCGATGCTGTGGTGCCATTTGGAATTTCGACAAGCGTTGTCAATGTTTCTCTACGTTCCACGGATCCCGTGCTCCGCAGAAGTTCTTCGCCGGTGAGGTCCAGGGGTTCGCAGAGAAGCCAATAGAAGCACTCAACCAAAATGCCTTCGTGGTTCCTGATTTTGACGATTCACTCACAACCGTCCGCACCAAAAAGGTTTTACATTGCAGGGTTTTAAGAGGCCACACCCCTCGGGCGACGGAACTCCCAGGCGGGGCCCTTGCTCCTGGAGTTTGTGGAGACCTTCCTGGAGCCATTGTCCCAAAGACCGATGACGCCCCAGGAGATCGGACGAGAGACGCGGCTTTCTCGATCGGTTTGGGACATCGGAACCGAATGGCGAAGGGCCCCGTGTCGGCCCGTCGGCCCTGGGGGTCGGTGGTTTTCCTCGCTGCCCTCGAAACGGGCCCACGTCCCAGCTTGGGCCCTGAAGAGAGTGACTGGCTTCGTCTGTTCAAATCCCCTTAAGAGGCTCGCCTTTCGTGACTGGCTTCCCAAGTGACTGGCTCGTGTGTGGGTGAATGGAGGCGTCCGTTCCTGGGAATCGGTCTTCGTCGGCATCGGTCTGCCTTCAGGAGATGTGCGCAGGGCTCAAAGCGCAGGCGAGCTGAACCGAGATGAACCGATAGACATGGGAACGGTCATGCGAACTCGCCGGAACGGCACCTCGCCGTTCCACCGGAGGATGACCCAGCCAATATGTAAAAGGATTCTACATGCGAGAGCTTGATGTTTCGTTCAATGGTTTTTTTTCCAGTCAAGAAAGTGATGTCGTCCTTCCAAAGGGGGAGTTTTTTTGTTTTTTTTTGCGCAGGATCCTTTTCAGGACATCCCCCCAAAAAGGACTTGCTTCCATATTCTCAAACCTTGAGGACAACACTTTCGCCTCTTCCACAAGAAGACACTTTATGCATTGTGGGATGAGTTCGGGTCCGGATGTTTGTTCGCATGGGAAAATGGTCATGCAAGGGACCATTTTTCACTTCCATGATCATTTCATTGTATAGAACTGCTTAATCACGTTCCAAATTAGAAGAACTTCACAAGGGTCACTAGCATTGATTCAATCCTTTTAAAACACCTTTTTAATTACAATTTACATTCTTCTTTCCTTTTGCACCTGGATGTCTGGACCTATAGCAGTTGCAGTAATCTGCAGTAATAGGTAGTGAGTTTTTCTTCTATAATAGTTGTCTTTATACATTGACATGATGTCACATGTACAAACTCCAGTGCCCCCCCCTTTTGGGCTGTGAGGTTTGAGGCGGGATTGAAGTAGGTGCAAGATTCCAGTCCTTGAAGTCAGCTCTCGGAACTTTTTGCAATCCTTCATTCCATGTCTGCCATTCAGGCCGGCCCTTTGGCCATCCTGTTGCGCACCTGTCGCATCCTGGGTTACCTCTCCGTCAACGAGACGGCTGGGCGGTCGCTCAGAGGAGTAGTCACTAGGATCCTGAAATCGGTCGTTTGGCACAAAAGTCAACTTGAGCGCTCGGACCTTCTCGGAACATTTTACAACCAACTCGGAGATTTTTTTCTGCGCATGAAAAAGCATATATCTCACCGTGCACTATAGCAATATGGACCTATAGCCATACAAGAAAGTGTTCGTTTCCCACAAATGCAGCGATCTTTTCGATCAGAGATGATTCTTAGTCTACATTCGACCTTGGGGTTTTGTGCTCAAAGGGGGGGCTGCTTCCCAGCGTGCGCAGGGGGCTTACAGCACTGTGGAGGGCGTGGAGTTGGATGAGCTGCGCACCTTGTTGAGGCGCAGTCGTTGACGGACCGGGCTCCGGCACCTGTTCTGGTGAGAAAGGTCTCGGTTGATGCAGAGACCCCGGACCCGGCGGTCGTCAGACTTGAAACCGGAAGAGCCTGCAGGCCCTCCTCGGGGATGGCACGCGCCATCCGCAGTGTCTATGCTGAGGCGAAGAATGCTCAAGTTTGTCTTTCAATGAAAGCGCTTGTGATTCGATTCAAAGCGAGTCCCAAGCAGATGTTCA